CCGATGTTGGTGTCTATTTTCAGCTACATACATTCATTTTGCCCCCAAAAGAGTCGATGCCCCCTCCCTTCCCCTCACACGCGTCGTTTCAACCAGACAGCCATTTGTAATCCATAGGGGGGGGTGTCGCAGAAAATGTTTGGAAACCACTGGGGAAGAAAAAGTTTGAGAACCACTGCATTAACAAATCTGTAGAAAAAATATGTAAAAGTTACATACTGCAGCTTTAAGACGTCATTTTCAATTTTTCCAAGTTGCAATTTCATTGCTTTATCCTGTTTTACAAGAACTGATGGTTTTTACGTTATTTATTCACATAATAGATCAAAAGTGTTTGCTGTGTTTTTCACAAGATAAAACTAAGACAAGATATAAAACACCAACCCCTAAAAAAAGGCTCTAAATCATTTAATTTATCATGTGAGGCTATGAAATAGGAAATATTTTGGATGTGGTTTTTTTTTTTTTTTTTTTTTTTTTTTTTTGGTTGAGGAACTATTGGAAAGAGGAGTGTAGATGACGCTGCTCTTTGATTGGCTCCTTAGATGAACAGCCTGAAGGATTTGTACCTGCTGCTGGAGGAGGAGGAGAGTCAGGCGGACAAGAGAGCCTCTGCAGACGAACAGCCTCTCAGCCCGACCATAAAGGCAAGCAGACCAGCACACACACACAAAAACATGCATAGGGCATGCATTGACTTACGTTTTGAACAGCTTCTTACATGTTGCTCTCACAGTGACATGTGTGCATGACTAAAACCTTACTAGATCTGTCTGTGTTGTTACAGTCTAGTGCTGTGAGCAGCACTTTGGCAGACCTAAAGGTTGCTCTGCAGGACCTGAGTGCAGAGTTGAGACAAGAGAGACAAGGCTCCCAGGAACTTACTCAGCAGTTCGCAAAGGCCAAAGCATCATGGGAGGTGGAGAGAACCGAACTAAAGAGCCTCATCACGCAGGTAGCAGAACAGAGCTGCTGTAGAAAAGTCTAAAAAAAAAATTCACTAAGTTTGACAAAGACAATTTTTAGTTTTTTACTGATATCTTGATGAGCAAAGCTTGTGTGAACAGAAAAGAGCTGGAGAGAATCAAATGCAAGAAAGATGGAAGGTAACTAGCTATCTTGGATTGTTGAAGTTCAAGGGGGGTTTACAAGTCATGTTTTAATTTGGTTGCATAAAAAATACAATTTTAGAATTTGCACGAGTGTGTATTGGCCCCCTGCGACAGACTGGCGACCTGTCCAGGATGTACCCCGCCTCTCGCCCGGAACGTTAGCTGGAGATAGGCACCAGCACCCCTCCCGACCCCACTGAGGGACAAGGGTGTTCAGAAAATGGATGGATGGATGGATGGGTGTATGGCCCCCTGTGAATCAGTCCAGCTCGACAATTTTGACTGCAGGGCTGAACATTCAGAGCAGACTTTTCTTTTTCTTCCAGGAAGTAAAACTGTATTTTTGAGCGAGGTGATAAGATGGGATGTAGAAACATAAAATAAGAAATGTTTTTTATGATTAGTACTAAACCAGCTCTACCATATCTCCAAAACACAAACATAGTGACATTTTTGCGGACCTTGGGGTCAGGTAGTTTATTTGTCTGTAAAACCTTTTCCAGCTCCTCTATAAGCTTTGGGACAAGGATTTTACTGGCTCCTCCCCCTCTTGATTGTCTTTGTCTCGCTGCCTGTCTCATAGCAGCAGCTGAAGCTGTAATAGTTTTAATTAACAGCCTCTAGGATAAAACACAGCCTGTGTGTAATGGGGCAGGGGAGGAATGAGAGATAAATTATTGCCGACAGGGAGGCCTATTAAAACAGAGCTAATTGTATGATATCATCTCTTCTTTCCTTTTGTATATATGTATATATGTTAATGCATATTCTGTCCTGGACATAATCGATATGAAGTTGCAGGTCAGATATGTCTACGGTTTTCTTTAGGAATTGATTATGTGCATTTTCTGCCCCGCATGTATTTCGTGTTATTGTTTTTTTCGGGGGTGTGGCTCTCTCTTCTTTGCGCAGTTTTCACTGTTAGATAGTGAATACGTTAAACGCAAATAATATTTTGAGTGAAAAGGGTCACTTAGAAATATTCCAACCCCAACGAGAGTTTTATTTTGCCTTTTAACCTGCCTGTAGGAAGAAATTGCTTCGAAAGTCCCTACGACATCATTTACCTGTAAAAAATGCATATGCATCGGCCTTCTGTGATTAAAAAAATAAATAAATAAACAAATTTATAAAAAGCCACGTGTCACCACATTGTAAGTTAAACATAATCCACAGTGGAGGATTTTCTCCGCGTTATCGGGGTTCTCTCAGCACACCAATCTAATAACGCTCACAGACGCACGCCGACACCGACAGCCGTCGTTAATCATTGGTCCAATCTCGACGACTCAGGCCTCATTCTAGGAAGCCAGATCATTTGTCTCCTGATCGCCAGTCGTAGACGAGAGCCTGAGTTCAGAGAGACGAGACGATTTTCCCTTCCCTGACAGCGACCTCTTTAGTGTTAATTGTTAGATGTAAGTTGTAATGTTCAGAGGTTTTACAGTAAATTTTGGAGACTGAAACAAAAATAGTTGCATTGTTGTGTAAAGGTTTTAAACCACCTGTCGTATCTTTAAACCGTATGTACGAGACAGAAAAAACACTGATGGAAAAACCGGACACCGATCGAGACCTCTTTAAAAATTCAAATCGTTGTAATCTGTAAAGAAACGATCGATTGCTTTGTCTGTGCAGACCTGAACACCTCTGGCTTTTCCCTGCCATGTGAACTCACTTGGACGTGTCTGTGAGTGGGTGTTGCTCTCGTCTAGATGCCACATTTGGAAGTAATCTTTTCTCTGCCAACGATGCAAACTGTAAAGTGTGCAGTGTGTGCACGTGTTTGTTTTTCGTGTGTGTGTGTGTGTGTGTGTGTGTGTGTGTGTGTGTGCGTGTGCGTGTGCGTGTGCATGTGTAGCCTTATGACAAACAGCTGACCACATCAGTACCAAGACTTCCTGGCAACTCGCAGCAGGTCCTCCAGCTGTTGCTTCACTGAACAAGTCAACTCAATTTCAAACACTGTCCTCCCTTTCAAACAGCCTGACAGGAAATTATCTTCACTGTTCGACCTGACAAACAAACCCGGTCAGAGAGCGTACAGATGATCTCAGGATCCCTGAGCGCTTGCAGGACAAATGCAGCTTTCTTCCAGCCTGTGAAGGCCTGAGGCCTCCCTTCTGATGCTGCCTCATATTGTTTAATGCAGGTTAACCAGTCATCCTCGCTGACTGTGGGATTGTTACAAACATCTCTGTGATGACAAGCTGAGCAGCTGGAAGCTCTTGTTGCTCATTCATCACCTCTGTGGCATTAACTTCACTCATGAAGGGAGGCGGACATCTGCTATATTAATTTGAAAATAAATGCGGTCGCAACATTCTGCTCTGTTTGTTTAATGTGTGATAAAACACAGGCAGCTTAACTAGAAACATGCCTACCAATGTCTCCTTGTGGCTCTGAAAATACATATTTGTTTTAGTTTTATGTCTTTATCACTAGTGTGTCTCATTAGGACTTACCATTATTTAGTAAACCATTAATTATTCGATTGTTGTGAAGGTTAACCGGAGAACCGTTTACATGTTTTTTATACTATATTGGCGTATGGATACATCTGCAGCTAAAAATAATAGTTCTAACATCAACATGGGTAAAGCTCAATCGGTCAAGTTTATATGCTTTATTATTGTATTTCAGAAACAAAGTAGTTCAAAGTGATTCACATCATAAAAGCACAAAAATACAAAGTAATCAAAAAACACCAACAATTTAGAAACAAGTAAACATTACATCTTTATGAGTGACATCATCAAAATCATCAATATGCATCAATCTTCCATTTATTATGGTTCAGAAGTAACTCTATCCTCAGCCCTTTCTGCTTGACTTGATTATTTTTTTGATTAACTAACCAGCTTTGCTAATTATTATGTAATGTAAAGGCCAGACGTGCTATCAGCCTCACAGGATTGTGCTTTTAATAGACCATTAATTACAGTAATACTGTTGTTCTCTACATAGTACCTCTGTAAAGAGAACATTATCACTGCAAGTTGTTAAATAGATTTTTAAAAAAAGGGTTTTACTAATTCATATTATGAGCAGTCACAGCAAAACAGCACTACTAATATTATAAAGCAAAGGAGAAACATCTGTCCCCGTGTATATTCCTAGAGAACGGAGAGCTATTTCTGCCAACAGTCAATATTTCCAGATCCAGCATGCTCCGTAGCAGACAGAGGTTACGAGCTATGATGGATAAAACTTTCCCTTAAAACGTCTGGCTTTCCTGTCGTCTTCTAAAGTCTTACTTTCTCTCATTCTTCTGCAGCCATGATGAATCACAGACGTGTCTGGGGATGTTGTAAAAAAATACTTAACAGCTTCTTAGGCCTACATGCTACCAAATTTAGCAAGTTTTCTTATATTAAAAAATGATCTACTCATAAACGTGACAAGTACGTCCTACTTATTGGTAAAGATCCAGACGCTGCCTTCCTTCCTTTCCAGAAGCACTTTACTGTTTTAGATTTTACCGCCATAAACACAGTTAAAGTTGCTAAACAGTAAGTATCGGGTTTTGACCCAAACACGTCCGTAAACACTTGGCATCCAGTGAAATAGCCTCCCTCTCAGCACCTCTGCAGTAAACCACGTTGACTTGTGGGGCTCATTAAGCTGTGTTCGTCATTAATAAGAAATACTGCGCGGCCGTAAGAGACGGGAGTTGGGCTCGGTCAGAGTGTGCTTCACTGTGACTGGCTGTCTGACAGTTTCATTAGTACCACACATAGATGCCGCCGAGTCGGGCAGCCAGGCCGAGGCACAACGAGACGATTGATGGGTCTGGGAGGTCTGGGTGTGGGCGTGTGGGCATTTGAGTTTTCACGTTTGTCAGGCCGATGTGCCGGCACTGTCAGAAGCACAGACGCGAGACGCAGACGCTGAGAAGAAAATGTAAAACGGCTCATAAATATTTAAGGGGATTCCACCTACAGAATCTGCAACAGCGGAACAGAAGGGAGGGTGAAAAAAGGGGCGATGCGGCTCAAAATAGAGAGTGAGAAGTCTGCAGGACAGGACAGAGTGAAACGGGGCAAAAGGGGAAGAGAGGCGATGATAGAGAAGTCCACAAATACCCCAATACAGGATGAGACATGTTGCTATCCTGAGACTTCCTCTTATGAGTTATTTGTAATTTAAATTATTAAAACCTATAACACTGTTGATTCTCCCATTTTCTATTCAATTTTCCCTTCTCCAATATTTCACTCTATAAAGCCGACCGGATGATTTTAAAGTGCAATTAGGCAACACAAGCCAGTATAAATTATTTTAATCACTAAGCAAATTAAAGTTATTTTTAAGCATATTCCATTTCAGTCCAATTATGACACATTTCCAATTACCATGATTATAATGGCAAAAATAATAGTCCACATTAGAAGAAAAATCATAACTATGTTGAACAAATGGGGCCGAACCTGCAGCTTTGCTGCTAACGCGGATGAGCAGAAGAATTAGAGGGTATTTATAATTATTTCTTTAGGTCAAAATTATTTTTTTCTCAATATCACTTTTTCATACTTAACAATAAATTCATACATTGCCTTTTATTTATTAATTTAAATTGACTTCTAATCTTATAATCTTCCATTTACACGTTTTAATTTCAGCATCTCGTGAAGTGTCGCAGCAAAAAGAATGTCAGTCAAGTTTTTTCCATGTTTGGTCAAACATTAATATCTGCGACAAATTAAATAAACAGGGAACCGAATTAGAGTCGTATAACTTTAGTGGATGACACTGAAATGGGAGATATCATGTTTGCTTAGTAAAAAGAAAATCCCATTTCCTTTTCGAAAGAACTCTGACTCAATTTACTGGTTTTCACCTTCCAGCTTGAGACCAAACTCGGGAAAACCACAGCAGCACTTTCCTCCACTGAAACACTGGACCCTCTTGACCTGAAGGTGGCTCTTAAAAAGGAGCGTGAGGAGCACCAGCACCTCCTCGCCGAGTCGTATGCCGCCGTGATGGACTTAACCAAACAGGTGAGCTGATGTCTAAGCATGAAAACCTACGACTTCTTTGGCGCTGATGCTGCAGACTGCAAACGCACAGCGAATTCAGAATGGGCTATATTTCAGCTGTTAGAATTGGGCCTGTCGATACAATAGTGAAAACAGAATCATGTTAATGATGTACAGCGATTTCCAGAAGAACCGGCCTGCTGGGCACCATGGTGGTCGCAGCATCATGCTGAGGGGACGCAGGAAGAGGAAACGTAGTGGTCATAGCATGAGAAAAAGTTTTTAAAAAAACGTGGATATGGATGTACGTCACCACCATCTGATTTCAACTCATCCTGCTGTTTTTGAATCTCCCTCCTTTGGCTCGTCCGACCGTTGATCGGCTCAGCTTCAGATCGGAGAGAGGAACTGGAGCAGAGAGAAGCTGGAGCTGCTGGAGAGGTTCAGCCAGGAGAGAACTCAGTGGGAACAGAGGCTGAGAGACGCTGCCACACAACAGGACAAGGTGCGAAGGGTGGGTCTTTGTTGGTCCATGTGAGCGTGAGTGTGAGAAACACTCTGAGAGTCTGACAGAGTTCAGACGTCTGGACACGATGCTGCTGGTTCAGGTTACTGCTCTAGGTTTCATCTTTTTGTGGAGAGACAGTAACTGCACAGATGTTAATGCCATGATATGAGCAGAGGCTGGCTGAGTACCCAAAAGTTGTACTTGAGTAAGAGTAGTCCTAGTTGACAACATTTTTACTCAAGTAAAAGTAAAAAAAAAAAAAATAGCTGTCCAAGAAAATACTTAGGTAGAAAAAGTCTTTGGTAAACTGATCAAAACATGAATCAATATGTTAAAAATACTGCATCAGAAGGACCAAAATATACAAAATATAAAAATAAGTTTAAATTGAGTTTGTTTGTTTTTTTAAAGACAATTTATATAAATAGTATAATTACAAATTAACAAAGTCAGGCAAAAGAAAAATTTTTCCAAGCGTAAAACTGATGAAACTGCTGGTGTCTGATGATTGTTTTTTAAACAAGCTTGTTCTCCATCCAGTGAAGTTACTCGCAGTGTATGAAGTATCCAGAGATGTTCCTACAGTAAGAGTAGTGACACTTCTTAATAAAATGACTCAAGTAAAAGTAAAAAGTCCAGAGTAAGTAAAAATAATCCTAAAAGTATTTATTTCCCAAAATGCTCCTCAAGCAAATGTAACAGAGTAAATGTATCTGGTTACCATCCAACTCTGGATCCTTCTGTAAAAGTTCAGCTCAGCAGAAAGACATGGCCACTCATATCTGCTGCAACATGTCAGTGAGGGCTGACGGCGGGCTGCGACCTTCTGGGGATTCTAAGGTTAAAGGGATTTTCTCTGTGCCTGACTCAAACCCCAGAGGTGCATTTAAGGCCTTTCTGTCATCTTTGAAGTTCTCAGCCTGCAGAGAGCTCCCCTCCTCTCCCGCCCCGTTTCCTGTCCACTCATTCGCTTTTTCCACTTCCGCGTCTGTCTCCGTCGTCTTCCTTCCCCCTCTCTGCTGTCATCCTGTCTCGCTCCAGGCCTGTGCAGGAGAACTGGGAGGAGATTCAGCTCGTCATTTAGCTTTTTGTCTCAGCCACTCTGATAGCAGCGTTTATCACTCTCTGCCTTCCTCAAGTCTTATGAATGCGTCATTTGTTTGAACCTTTTCAAGCTTTTGGGATGCAGTTGTAGCGCCACCAACAGGCAACTTAGTGTAATCCTTGCTTTATTACACTTAAGCAGAACAAAGACGGTCAGTTACTCTACTTCAGTTTTTGATTTTTACACATAAGTATTTTTGCAGATTAAAGGCACCTGCTGTGCATTTAGATTTCTGTTTATTCGGATAGTTCGGGCTGCACAGTGCTGCCAGTGAGAGTAAAAAAAGGTTGTCAGTGCAGCTATAGGCACAGCGTCTGCAGATGTCCTTTTCTTCCACTTCTCCTCCTCCGCTCACAGGGGAAATTGCTTCTTAGCTTCAGATCTCACCTCCAGTGCAAAAACCACCGACTCAGCATAGCTATCCGTGTTTAACCTCGATCTGCCACAGACTGATTGTAGAGTTCACTTCTAGAAACTCCAAAGGAGGCGACTGGCAACTTCATGCTCACAATGAAATGCTATAGGAGCTGTGATGCTCAGACGTGTCATGGCGGTCGTTTAAATGTTGATTGCAAAAACTAGATCAAGTCTTTTCAACGTGACTCTTCTCTTTTCCCTCACAGTCGAAGCCTCCAGGTGACGAATCCACTGTGGACACGGCGGGTGTTGTTAACGGATCAGCATCGCCGAGGTGACAGTGAAAAACAGTCATGCTTACTTTACCACGTACTTAAACAAGTCATTAGTTGTCATCACCTTCACTTTTTATGGCCGTTTCATCATCAGTGCTTTAAGTTAAAGTCAAAATCAGTGTCAGAATCTGTTTGAACAAGTTCACTGGGACTTTTCAATGATTTCACGGTGCAAATAAACCTAAAAAGTAAAAAATAAGTAAAGTATGAAAAAGAAAAATATACAATATCTACACACGTGCAAATAAGCAGGTGGATAAAGTAAGAGAGATGCTTCACAAAGATATTTATATATTTTTTTTATCCTTTTCACTTTTTGTCAGATTTCTTTGTACTGTATTTTTTTTATAAGCATTGGGTGCATTTATTAGTCAGACCTCTTTACACTGATGCCCCGAAATAAAATCCAAGGCAAAGAATGGAGGCGCGGCATAGGTCCACAGCTCAGATGGACCTATGAAAAAACTTGAAAAGAAATGAAAGGAAAAGTTTGTTGTCCACAAATTTAGCTTTCACGGAAAATAGGCAAAAAGAAAACCATTAACATAAACCCAGAAGAGGTCAGCGTTAGTGTTTTCCACAGTCCTAACACTCGCAAAAAAAGTCACGATCAGTGTGTGTTCACAAATTATCAACATTTTGTGCTGATCTGTTATATAAAATCCAAGTTAACAAACACTGAAGTGGGCGGTTTGGAATGTCGCAAATGTGGAAGAATGAATACTTTTGCAGATCACACTGAATTTGTCACTGTGACATCTGAACATAACTTTTCTGTTACTGCGTCTTTGACTAGGATCAAATCTACACTGGAGGACTCAGAGGGTAGCAGATCTTCCTGTGCAAAGGACAAAGCACATTTTGGTTCAATGCCACTTTTTACTGGAGCCGAGTTTGGGGATGTAACCGTGAAGAACTGGACCAGCATAACCAACGAGGTTTGAAACTGCGGTTTTTATACGGCTGCTGGTCTAAAATTTGTAAACTTTGTTGAGGTTTTTATAGTGACTGCTTTCACAAACACACTGAGTCAGAACATTTACTAAACCTACGCTGTTGTCTCCTGGTCTAGACCCCAGAGATGGCTGACACTTGTAAAACCTGGGATGGTCCAAGTGGTTCTTCTAGCAGCTCCGCAGCCTCTCAGATGGACTTGGACTTTGTGCAGAGGAGCTGCACTGCTCCGGACCGGACCGGCATCCGTATTTACTACAGCCCTCCTGCTGTGAGGCGTATGGAGCACCGGAGAAGGTACCAGGAGCCTCTGGATTCTGATGAATACAGCGTCGGGGGTTCATCTCTGAAGCAGAATGACACGGACGGTGGCGTGGCCTCACTGGACGCTCTCGATGCTCAGCGCCAACAACCCGCCTCATCGTTCACCTCTTCTTATGAGCAGTGGCTCAGCTCGCTGTCCAAGCAGCACCGGGAGCTGCTGGAGAGCAGAGGCAGCAGCATTTCCACGTCGATGCCGAGCGTTTTCAGCAGCAGTGTCAGCGGCGGGGCGGCTAACAGGGTGGTGGACGGGATGACGTCCAGTTCTCCCTTCCACGACCTGGAGATCGGAGACATTTCTGCCAACTTGAGTGACGACATGAAGGAGATGACTAACTGTGTCCGGCAAGCTATTCGCTCTTCTTCTCTGGAGAGGAAATCCAGCAAGGAGCCTGGGAGTCAGGTATCGTCTCTCCTTCATTTCCATTCTCGTTCCAGTAAATGTTTTGAATGTGTAATATTTTCCTGCTGTTTTTGTTGAATTTAGTCTTTATTACTTCATAGCAGGGAAGCCAAACTCAATGAGCTTGCCTGTCTTTGTATTGAAAAGTGCTTTGTAAATAAAATGTAATATTAAAACATGTTATAAATGTTTGATTTAGACAGAAAGATCTCCGTGTTCTAATTGCAAACTTAGCTCTACTGGAAAAAAGTCCAGGTAAAAAGGTTAATCCGAAACATTTTAAACTTCCTTCAGCCCGTTGGAGTGTCCAACAAGTCCACCCAGACTGCAGCTCAGGGTGTCAGCATCGGACTGCAGACAGAGACCAGCAGGGCAACGGGGTTGCACTCCAAATCCTGGTCACCTCGGCCAACACCAGCAACCACTTCCTCGCTGGCATCCGCCCGAACTCGGCAGATTTCTACATCTCTGGATAAAGTGCACAGCCGCATTGAGAGGCCATGCTGTTCGCCCAAGTATGGGTCGCCTAAGCTACAGCGGAGAGTATCTTCTGGTAAAACTTCTCCTCACTTCCCTCTGAGCCCAGTTCGTTTGGCGCTTTGGAGCGTTTTTAGACGAATGATCGAGCAAATCGCTATTTTCAGGTTCCACTTCCAGACTGGATGGCGCTTCCTCCAGCAGGGACCGCAGCATGTGGAGCCTACATCAGAGGCCCATCGGTGGCAGTGGCGGCTCTGCTTGGGCTCGCTCCACTACGACGAGGGACAGCCCCGTCCTGAACGGCCTCACCGACGGCCTCTCCAGCCTCTTCAGCGTAGTGGAGCACTCCGGAAGCACAGAGTCGCTTTGGAGGAGTGAAATAGGTGAGATGCATAATCTAGGTCTGTAAATCTGTCATCTTTCAAGTATTGCAAAATATGCCACCCAATCACATTGAGGCGCCATGACCGACGTTGGAAGTGAGGGATTGTTTTTCCAAGTTGTTTTTGCCTGTATAGCCACGGCTTTCACTTGTTCAAGTCGAGCTAATTTGTCTTGCCGAAGTAACACAGATTTATTTGGGGCTCATGCATGGCAGCACTTACAAACGTTGGATAAAGCTAGATTAGAAAGCGACCCATACGTTCCCTCTCCTGACATATTTGTTTGTTTAATCAGCCGGTTTCACGCCCCATGATTTATACCACTATGTTATAAACGGCGTTTTCCCGTAACACCGAAGCAGACTTAAAAGCATGCAAAAGTTTATTTGTACAAGGCGGAGCATTTTCTCCATGGTTACTAATGAATAGATGGGTAACTACGCTACACTGCAACATCTTGTCAAAGGTTTACAATAAAATGGCAAGTTTGGTTGCATCCATATCTGTCTGTCTGTCCAGCCAACTGTGCAGAACCCTAGAGCCATTTTTAAAGTGAAATCATCTAAATAAAAGAGATATTAGGCTCTCGACTGTCTGTTTTTTGACAAGCTTTACAAGAGTTTACTCGCACATCGGCTGTTTTGACATCCGTAGTGGTGGAGTGGTACGTGAAGACGTTGACATCACGAGCAAAGGGTCAATCCCTGCACTAACACTTACATAAGAACAAACTGAGAAACATCGTAATTTGATGGAACAGAAAAAAGCCCAAACGTCTTGTCGTTTTGTTCTGGCTTAAACCCACAGTAACTTCAGTTAATCCTGTTGGTGATAATCCAAACCTGTGATCCCTGCGCTGCTATAGGGTCAAGCCAGACGGCCAGCCCGGCTCGGCAGCCTCACGCTGCCGGAAAACCTGCTTGCGGCTCCGATTCCAACCCTCAGCGGTATGGAGGGCTGGTGCAGGAGTTCTTCAGGAATGTGTGCAACAGCCGCGGCCCGGTTGGAGCCCCCCTGTCTGTGGAGAGAGTGCAGAGAGACTCCCTCGCTGTCCTCGGAGGCGTGGGGGTCTTGGGTGGCTTGAGCAGCGTGGACGAACCCACACTCGGAGGGGCTGCTGCGCTGGCTGGACTGAGCGGAGGCAACGACAGCGTGACCAGGATTGTTAATAAGCGGTTTCTGAGGCAGACGGCTGGGGAGGAGATGATCAGCATCATGGGAGGAGGGAAGGAAGCAACGAGCAACAGCGTGGCTGCAGGACCGGGAACCGAGGTTTGTGCTTTTAAATGAAACGGCAGTTTGTAGTTTTTTACTACATGTTAAAATGTATCATATTACAACCATAAACTTCAGCCTATTATAGAGGGACTTAAAATCTAAATGTGGTAAATCTCCTTTAATAAAGTCCACTTTGACCAATTGTCTTCGAAAGTCATGGAATAAGTACTTGTTGTCCACTTGAGTGTAGTGTAATCTCAGTATGAATTCAGCTGTTCTGTGAAGTTTTCAGAGGTGTGTTTGAGGACATCAGTGAACTAACAGCATCACAAAGACCAAGAAATACAGTAGACTGATCAGAAAGAAAGCTTTAAAAGTGCTCTTAATGTGTTTACTGAAAATGGTAGCAGTATGAAGGCCTGAACTGCCAGGAGGAGGAGAGCATTGATTACAGCACCAGTCAAAAGACCTGTGGTAAAAGGAAGGCAAAAACACATCCAAGGCTACAACAAAAGAGTTTAGATCAATGCATTAAGTCAACTTTGCAAAGACTAGAAAACTCCTCTTGAAATGATGTATATCCAGTCTGATTCAGCAGGGGGTGATTTGTTAAGGCAAAAGTTTGAGTTTCTCAACATGAAAAGCAGGTGCAGAGATAACCCAAGAGTTTCAGCTGTAATTTTTAAACATCCATGTATCATTTTCATTCTAAAGCACAACTATTTAGTTTGTTCTGTTGGTCTAACCAGTAAAATGCAGAGTCATTCAAAAAATTAGAATATTAATGAACGGCCCATTTATTTCAGGAGCCTCTCATTTCATACAGATTAATTACACATACGGGTGTTTGGAAGCTTTTATTTCTGCTAACTACAGTCATTTTCCACTTATAGTTAATGAAAACATGGCACTTAAAATCAGATCATCACATCAGAGCAATATAAAACTTTATTAAAAACAGAGAACGTGTGCTTAATGAAAAGCATGTTTGCTGCTTAAAGGTTATTATTTTCAAAAGATACGTTTAATCTGACAAATGAGACTCACTGAGACGTATATATTCTGATTTACTGAATATGACGGTACATGAAAGTCTGTGGTTATAACATGACAGAATGTGCAAAGGTTAAATCGGTATGAACACGTTTCCAAGGTTCTGTACACCATGGCACGATGATGTGGGCATGAAGTGACTTTGTTCTGTCTCCCAGGAGGCACCTTGCGATTGTGCTACTCCGTCCTCCTGCTTTGTCCGATCGTCCAGAGCAGCCGTTCGCCACTGCAAGCACCGTCCGCAGGACTCTCCAGCTGGAGCCGAGGAGAAAGGAGACGCCTGCAACGAGTGACGAGCCTCCCAGCGAAGACGCGCACGGAGGAAATTCACTTCTTCACAAACACGACTGCCTTGGAAACGCTTCCCCGCACCTCCCAGAGCACCAAATGCACACAAATACCTAGAACCTGCCACGCACACAGGCCCACTGCCAAACATTAACACACCGCCTCAGCACACAGCGCAAACTGCCCCCTCCCCCGGACTCCCACACAAAGCTACTGCCACCTTCTCTCAATCAGAACACCGGAGACGCCACTCCGGTTTCTAGACGTGCGACCGATGCCAAGGACTGCGCCAGCATCCCAAACCTACCAGCAGGACTGAAACCAGAACTGCCATCTAACACTACAGATACCAATCAACAGGTTAAATAATGATGATGATGATGTCAGGACTCAAAACACAACCTCCAACTATCAGAGTAACAGGTACTACAATCAGTCTGCTAATACTACACATTCACTATAATGTTACCACCATCATGCTGTTTAATGAGCAGTTATTTTAGATATCATGTGTTACTTTGGGGGGTATGAAACAAAAGCAGTTTTTTATTATTTTTATTATTTTATATATATATATATCTATATATATATATATATCTATATATCTATAGATATATATATATATATATATATATATATATATATATAGATATATCTATAGATATATAGATATATATATATATATAGATATATATATATATATACACACACACACATTCTGGCTGGTCTGAGACGGCCGGTCTGCAAACCGAGACACAATTAAATGTTTCGATGATTTCACAGTGTTGGACCTGCACTTAACACGCCATGCAGTGTCGGATTGCTTTGCACAATTGACTTCACAGATAAAAAAAAAATGCCACATCTTAATGACACATAGCAGAGTGGTATACGCCGTGTCTTATTAGCACAGGAAGACATTGAAAACCACTGGGCCGTGCGTTTCATGAAGACCAGATTTGAACTAAAATGAAGAATGTAGGTACCTAACGGCTCAAAAAATGAAACCATAGAAATGATTATAGAGACCAATGTTGAACCAGTGTTCCTGGAGAGCAAACCTTATGGCTTGGTTTTCTGGTGCCGTCTTTCTTAATGAATAATGGCAGCAAATACAGACAAAGTGGGTGAAATGAAAGCCATGACTTTGACCTTCGATGATAGAAATTATGTCTTTATTTTGAAGCAGACGGCCAGAGATAGACTTGTATTGTCATCCTTTAACATTAGAGCAACAACCTGGTAAACACATGTACATATCTGCTGTGCGCCATCTTGAAATGGCTTCTGTTCTGACACACTTTGGGAATCATTCCTCCTTGTTAAGTTAAACCGGGATCCTTTTTGTTAATGTAATTTTTGTAATGTTTATTTATTATGTTTTTTTTTTTGTTTTGTTTTTTGTTTTGTTTTTGTTTTTTCCAGATTGCCCAAGCCAATGTTGGGAGCAAGAAATTAAAGGCATTCCAGTTTTACTAATAAATCAAAACGTCTTTTGGGATCATAATCACACGGTTGGGAAAAATAAACTACCGCGTTGCAAAAGTATTCATACTCCTTGACCATATATTTACATTCATCTAATCCATTGTAGCTCTGGTTGCATGTTCATGATTGCTGGAGGGTAAACCTCAACCACAGTCTCAAGTCTTTTGTACCTTCAGGATTTTCCTGAAATTTTCTCCATCATGAACTTTTACTAGCTTTAGTAAAAGTTATAGGTTGGTAAAAAAAAAAAAAGAAAAAGAAAGAAAAAGGGCGATTGGTATGAATACTTTTGCAAGGCAGTGAACTCCATATTTAGATACTTGGAACAGACACACTAACTGGCCGCTGTCAAAGTCGAGATATCAGAGTATCCTTATTGTCACAAACATACACCAACACCTATCTTTCTTACTAATAAAGCTCACTGAATTGGTTCATAGCATTACAACAAACCTGGAATCTCTTTCAGGATTTTTAAAAAGTTATTTAAACCTTTTTTTTAATCGGCAAAATATGACTTTTAATATTTAAATATCTGAAGTTTTAACTTATTTGAAACAGATCCATAAATTGATTTTCTATATAAATAAATGAAGATGAAATACTAAGTTAACTATAAGATGGACCACAGAGTTCGTTTTCCTGCAACAGCTGGACATAATGGGCAGCATAAATCAACACGAACAGAACTGTTGCAAAGTCACAAAGATTGGTTGCAAATAGCAGAAATATGATGTTGGACAAGATATAAAAAATATACTCTGAATAATTTTATACACGAATCTTGAGTCCATTACCTTGCCATGTCCTTTTTTATATATTGGATTTGCTATTCAAATGGTCTGTTGGATTATCTGTCTTATATTTTGTCACACTAAAACCAGACTCTCTAAAACACACAAACTTCCTTCATTCGGGAAGTTTGTTGTCTTCATTAATGTACTGTATCCTGCTAAAGCGACAAGAGGCTAACAACTGTAGCTGGATGTGGCATAGATTGCACATCTGGCATTTTTAAAATACAAAGTCATTTTTCTGGAATATCTACTATTTCACTTTTTAATTGTTGTTCTGCTGATCTGTTGTCGAGTCTCTGTTTTGTTACGATGGTGCTACTTGGTGTGCAGCCTTCTGTGGGCTTCAACGGAGAACCTACCCATCTTGTGTATGCACACAGTTTAATGACTCAGCAGTTTAAAAGTAGGGCATTACAGAAAGTACATATACTTAAATAACATGCTGAGGAAAACCCACAGTCTCTGTGCTACTGTCTGTCTCGGTTTTAGCCCTCATTTTGGGTACAAAACCAACTGCATAAAACCAGCTGCTGCCTCTCCGGCCACTGACATGAGTTCACCTAGACCGTTTTGGCCTCGATTTAATGGCTGTACTTGATGTCTGACTGGTTTACCAGCTAAGCAATGTTTCAACGGTTTCCAAAAAGCTCATTTACTGTTCCTTTTTCTTATTTCACTTTTTTAAAAGCATTTGCGTTTTCCTGCACAAGCTATAATTTAATCTCGATTTCAACTCAACAAGAAAACACAATAAATATGGCTTGGATATTTTATGTTTTCATTTTCAATCGAGCTATTGAACCGTTTTAGGAAAAACGCCTTGGTTTTGTTGCAAAACTCCAAGCTTAACTTTCAACAAGCTAGCACATTTAGCTGAGATGTTCATCTAGCAAAGCCGTCATTCTGACCACATTTCTTCCTGATTGTTATTTAAAGCAAATCCCTGTTAAAATATATTAAAATATTCTACTATACAAATCTGACCAAAAAATTTAAATGATAGACTGTTCCTTCAGTGCTGATTTACATTAAGATATTTAATATTTTTCTAGAACCCAAAATAAACTCAAAGGGCTTTCTGTGATTTGAATTTTTTTGTTGTAATGGAAATTTTTCATAACAATATGATTCAAATTATTGCAGCTGTTTGTCACACTGTTGAAGAGTTATCCAGAAATGATCGTTTTTGACTTTGATAAGTGTTAATTTTATCTTATCACTAGATACTCATAGAAAAAGTTAAATTACTTGTCAGTGTGGCATTATGGTCTTTTTATCAGACCATAATTGAACTATTGGAGGCACAAGTTAATTTTACATAAGTCAATGACACTACGCTTCAATAAACCAATAATTTGAGGACTAATATTAAACTTTCAAACACATACAAACAGTTAGCACGCTAACAAGACAGCCACAGCTCATAGGATATGTACTATCTACTGTCTAAAAAGATTGTTGCATTCTCCAGACTGCAAAAACCCAAACTGATTAGCGTGCAGAAGATTTCCGAACAGGTTCAAATAAGAACCTGTCTTTTTCAATTTTTCCTTTGCATTTATATCTGGAACTCGAAGCTATTAAAACTGTGTGCTACCAACAAAACAGGGTTGTGCTCAGAACATTAACATGATTGACTTTATACACTGCGAACCAACAAACAGCTCACTGTGGCAGGGATTTATGGGATATCCATTGTGCTGTTCCAGATAAGAAGCGACTTTATAACCTGATTCCTATATTGTAATTTTAAACTATATTTCTGATTGTCTGCACAAACGTAAAAGTGGACAGTTTACAGAATTTTGTTCTACCTCTTAGACTATAGACTAAAATAAACACAAAAACTAAATTCATGTAAATCTGCCAGAAAATGTTTTCAGTGGAAACTTGTGTAATCTCTACTTACTTGGGGATTTATTTTCAACGTCATTCTGTCAACAAGAGGGTCACTTTAGTGCCTTTCCTCTACAAAAGTGTCTTGTTTTTACTAGAACCTTTTCCTTTATCTGCATAGATTCCATTATTTTTAAAAAAGCACCACATCTTAGTTCAAATATTCAGCTTAGATACATGTTGAATTAAATCTAAAAGCTGTAGTATTTTGCACAATTGATAAGGGATTTATGAGACGAGAGCTAAAGTGAACCCTTAGATATTAATATTTTTGATTGATCAGATTTCCAAACGTGTCAAAATTAAGAACAATAGAACATTTTTTTCAATAAATGTCTGTAGCCTACACTGTTTTTCTTTCTTTTTTCATGAGAATAGGTCTAAATTTAAGATAGGATCATAATATGAAGAATCAAACACATGATGAGAAACGTTATTTAATCATTATTATTGTTATTTCATTTTTGCCGTGTTCTGCACAAGTATGCAAACATGCTGGACACATACTTGTTTGATTTGTGGCAGAATGATACACATATAATGATTCTGATCATTTTTAAATTGCATTACAACATACAATGTGGCTAGGTAGAGGCGGATATCCGTCTCTCCCTAATCCCTAAATTGTATTTCACCCATTAACTAAAACATTTTGCAGAAAAACATCACCAGCCAATGACTTTTTTAAAGGCTCTGGGGTATCAACCATCACCTGTACCCATTTTTAGGTAAGCCTAGTAAAGCAACATGAATATTTCCATCCTTTTGTAATGTTTCCATACCACTAATTAGAATATTACATGCTGGGATTATGTAAATTATTCTTAGCTGAGGTATTAAGGACAGTCTGTATATTAGCTTTATTAACATACTATAATCTCTTTTTAACAGTGCTTGATTAATAAAAGGAGAAAAACTTAAACGAGTACTTGGTAAAGAATTCCCACCTACATTGTAAAGCAACAGGAAAGTGAAACGGTTTGTTCCCTGCCCTTCTGTTTCTTTGAGAATAGCTGAATGTCAACAGCTGATCTGACGCAGGTCGCTGTGGAAATATGTAGCTCTCTCCCCTTTTAGACGGCACTTGAGCATTTTCATGTATATAGTTGCATTTTGAAGATGACTGACGGGGGAGAAAAGAACAATGAAATGAAATAAAA